CCCCCCCCCAAAAAAAGAGGACATTACCTTTTATATACAGGGCATTTTATAGGATTAGAGGATAACACTTAGGGTTCAAAGGAAGGCATCAGAAATACAAATATGTTTCAACTGTTAGCACTGCAACTTTTCAACAGTCCATCAATAACTAGCTCATAGCCATCTCTAAAGCAAAACATTTCAAGCTACATCTCATTTTCAGTTTTCAGATATCTAGTTATTAAGGCTGATGGATAAATTATAAAGCAAAGGTACTGTTAAAAGAGACACATAAGTGTTACTTGCAAATGAAGATTTTATAATATTCTAAAATTCAGAACACAATGGAACATGAACTTTCAAGGTATACAGATTATCCACGGTCACTATTTTTGTTTTACATATCTAAAAGGGATAATCTCTGGAGGGCAAATTCCCTCAATGGTGGACCACATTTTCCTCATCGCTAGTAAAGAGCATGAGAATGGGATCATCTCTCAAGATCCTGAAGAAATACCCATCTGTCATCTGGGATAATCTAAGCATATACCCAACATCAAATCTAACATGACCATACTAACAATTTGTCTGTGAATGGAATATATATCTTTAGCAGTAACTTTGCTCTCGTGGCAAGATGTGATGAGCTGAAGGAGAAGCTTGAAGGTTTAGTGTTATGTATTCACATACGATTGTTTTACAGGGCACGAGGGAAAAGATGCTACAGACACATAGCATGTACAAAACACATACCAGTGGGTTTCTTTTATTTGTATCCTCTCAATTATTAAATTCAGATGAAATAATGAGGGCAGAAGGTAGACAGACAATTCAGGACTACCTGGGCCGGCCAGTTGTTAAAAATGGTCCAGGAGATAACCACAGCAAAACCAAAATTTAGTGCTTCAAATGAAAACTCAACAGTCAATCCACTGTAACTATAACTATGCTTGCTTATGAGACATGAAAGTCCAAAGTAACCTGACATATCACCTGGAATATGATTTTTAGGCTACATAAATACAATTATATTAGGGAATTGTTTAATAATAACTAATCATTCTTCTTCAGCTAAGTTTGGTAATAGATACATGGTAACTGGAGAGGGCTGAGTTGGGCATGTAGTTTAATGGGCTATAAGGACTCCTGGCTATGTGAGGTCTATGTCTATAACAGAGATGTGCTGTACTTTTCCATTAGAGGAAAAGGGTGTGTACAGTAACTTTCCAGAAGAGCAGGCTTGGGGCAGTACAGTTTCCCTCGATTCAGCTTGGGAAAATACTATCTAGTAAGATCCCAAATTATTGGGTTCACAGAGTAGAAACGACAGAGAAGGAACCTGTTGGCAGACTATGTATAATTCCTTCAGAAAGTTCCCATAAAATGAGAAAGGCAAACTTGTAATTGCAGGCACTCAGAACAAGGAACCCTAACAGTCAATGAAATTGCCCTAGCAATGGGGGTGCTACACAGGAGGGGATAGGAAACTAAAATTGCATTGGTAATAAGGCACACTCTTGGCAGCCACTTGGGTGAAGAGTAGGTCTCCTGTGTAGGGTCCATCTAAGGAACCTGCCCAGCGAATCGGATACTCGAGTACAGAAGGTAGCAGGGAACAGTATATCATATGGTTCCTAGATAATTTCTAGATCATCTCAGGACATTAACTTGTCAACATATTGTAGATGTATTACATTTATATTGCCAGAAATGCAATAGGATGCAGCGAATGACTTGAAATTTATTTAAAAGTGACAACAATAATAATGTTGAAACATTTAAAAGAAAAAATTACTACTATACTAAATGCAAAATTAATGTTGTTTTATGAATGAAAGAGGAAAACCTGTACTCACCTATGGTACAGAGCAATAATATGAAAGGACTACACCTATATAAAAAAAGTTCACCATTTATTCATCCAATATTTATTAAGCAACTGCCATGCTCCTTCCTTGCTGGTTTTTTGTTGTTGTTGGAGAGGTGTTTTTTTTTTTTTTTTGCCATAGGGAGCGTGCACTCGCCAGAAGGACAAAGAGAGACAGAGAGACAGAAAGCAAGAAATCACCCCCCAGGGGGAATGGCCATGCTGCAATCCCTTCTTCTCCATTCTCCTCTCGGGATCTTCGGCATGCACACGCGCCTGGCGTGAGTTTAAGCCACCAGGTCAGGGACTTGAACTGCAGTCGACTACATGGGTGTTCAGTGACATAGCTGTTAGGCTAACTGTTGTTCCCCTTGCTAGTTTTTGTGAACACAGCTATAAACAAGACAGTTAAGAAATTCCATTTTTGAAGGGAGAAGGCAGATGACAATATAAAAAATAAACACACAAATAAACATGTAATAGATGAGTTATAAAGACAAGAAACAGAGAAATAGGATTGGAAGACATTTTTATTTTAATTTTTTAGACTATGATGGTTAAGGAAGGGCATTCTAAGGATGGAATTTGTGATTGGAGGTTTGAACGGCTACAGAGTCAACTCTTTGAAGATGTGGGGAAAGAGGGAGAGGAAATGGCTAACTGAGCAGCTGAACTCAAGGAAAGGGAGGCTATTATGACTGAAATGTTATGAGTTGGAGGGAGAGCAGAAATGAGAAGGCCATAGGGAGCGTGCACTCGCCAGAAGGACAAAGAGAGACAGAGAGACAGAAAGCAAGAAATCACCCCCCAGGGGGAATGGCCATGCTGCAATCCCTTCTTCTCCATTCTCCTCTCGGGATCTTCGGCATGCACACGCGCCTGGCGTGAGTTTAAGCCACCAGGTCAGGGACTTGAACTGCAGTCGACTACATGGGTGTTCAGTGACATAGCTGTTAGGCTAACTGTTGTTCCCCTTGCTAGTTTTTGTGAACACAGCTATAAACAAGACAGTTAAGAAATTCCATTTTTGAAGG